CAGCTTTAGTTATTGCATATTTTCTCTCCAAGTGAATATAGAACTGTAGTTAGTGCATACTTTTATTTCAGATATACATAGCAGCTTTAGTTATTGCATATTTTCTCTCCAAGTGAATATAGAACTGTAGTTAGTACATACTTTTATTTCAGATATACATACCAGCTTTAGTTATTGCATATTTTCTCTCCAAGTGAATATAGAACTGTAGTTAGTACATACTTTTATTTCAGATATACATACCAGCTTTAGTTATTGCATATTTTCTCTCCAAGTGAATGTAGTAATTTAGTGATTGTATGTTTTTTCTTTCATGTGAATATTGTGACTATAGTAACTGCATATTTTCTCTCCAAGTGAATATAGAACTGTAGTTAGTGCATGCTTTTATTTCAGGTATACATAACAGCTTTAGTTATTGCATATTTTCTCTCCATGTGAATATGGTGACTATTGTTATTTTGAGCAAGAAAAGCAATTTTAGTATGTATAAAATGTTTTGTCAGTCAGCATGAGTGTAGTTAGCATAGATCTTTGTTTCAGTTGAACACAGCAGCTGTTATTAATTGTATGTTTTCTCTGTTGCCGAACGTTAGCCGTAGTAATTGTGTTTGTTTACAGGTTAGCACAGAAAATATATTGATTGTGTTTTGGTATTTGGGATGGAAGTGACAATAACCAATATAGTGTAAATGTCAGGATACTCCTTTATTAGAGTTGCATTGTTTCATGTCTTTCCACCATACCTGTATTTAGAACACAGAAACAACAGCACAGAGTTTAAGCAAAAGATAGATTATGTTGTACATGTGTGTTACATAATTTCAATTTTCATAATTGATCTTGAACAAATAATTAGAATGGATATATTTATTTATCAACTGTTATAGTCTTATGATGTAAAATGATTTATGTACATAGTCTTTGGCTAATTTTGAAAGTTATTTTCTTGTATGTGTAATTCGTAAGTTTCCTGATCTTTATCATCTGTATGTGCAGTTATATAGTAACTTTTCCATAATTTGATGAAATACACATCTCGCCTGTTTATTAACTGTTAAAGGCTGTATAATTTTAGTTTCTGTGTATAGGTAACTGATAAAAATAAGTTTGTTTTTATGAATTTATTTTTTTACAATTTTACATTTAAAATGATTACTAGTATAAAAGGTGATGTCTGAAAGAAAAAAAATGACATATTCTAATGTAATTTAACTTGAAATGTTACATAATATACAACAGAGATATTTTGAAGCTGTAAACCTTTAAAAGTTATTGTTTAAATGCTGTAAGCTGGTGGAGCATTGTAAACCAATAGGCCTAGCTTTTGATAAAAATAATTTAAACTGTTAGATTGATTTTTTTTTCACACATTCTCTTATTGGCCCACTTTTGATTCTAAATCAGAAGTATATAAAAATATTTCACATCTATCTTTTGTTTCCCACAAGTCACTGGTGAAGAGGTCTTTTGTTTAATTCCAGAACTTGTAAGTTTATGTGATTGTTATCATAAAAGCTAGGCATATTGCTTTACAAGCTTATATCTGTAAGTATTGCTACATATCAGTAATTACTCTGTTTAGATGCAAAAACTGTATATTAATATAGTATCATTATTAACCTAAGCAATATAATATAGAACTAAAGAAACTGGGGGGAGCACTGATTGCAATTTTTACTATTTCATATCTCCTCTTTGGACAGTAGTCCAAGGGAAAGGTGTTTCAAGTGGATTACTTATTTCCTAGACTAAAAAATCATTGTATTTAAAAAGTTGGAGGGGGTGTAGCTCTTCTTTCAAATTCCTACTCCTTTGAAGGAGCAACATTCACAGATCAAACATTCCCTTAACTTTGAGTCATAAAATTCAATATTGACATGTAATAAAAGATGCTAGCATTTCAAAGTGATATGAGTTTATAGGACATTAATTAAATGTAGTCTCTTGAAATATTGCTTAATATTTCTCTCTTAAAAGCACACACTGAACATTAACCCATTTAACCTAGTTCACACCAAATGATTGTAGTTCAAGCAGTTGATGAGATGAATAACATCTCAATCACTACAATGTCCATCATATCCTAACCAGTTTAATGAGCCCTGCTATTGAGCCAAAGGCCTCTTTGGCAAATGCAAAGAAGCATAAAAATAACCAGTAAGTAAATTCATATACAATCCTTTCTATCAACTCTTCTTAATTGGTAAGAGTTCAGTATGTTAGTAACAATAATACTTTACAATAATAAAACAAAATGTTAGCATAATTGCAATTGAATTTTGAACTATACATGTATGTAATAAAAAAAACTGAAAAATTAACAACTATTACTTGCTGTTATTTTCAAATGCTTACATGTTACAGGCAATTCAAATTTTTCTAGCTTTTGTTCCTTCTGATATGTATTTAAAAGAATTTGAGAGTGAAAGTAAAAAGAACGTACTAATATATCAACCATACTATATCTAGAAGTATATGTAGTTGAATGGTAAAATATCCAGTATTAAAAGTGCATTTAAGCCAGTGTTATATGGAATTTTATATTGGTATTAGATACAAGTGTTAAACATTTTGATAATGTTTGATGTAACATCAATAAACAGTTTTAATACCAGTTCTGTTAAAGTGAGCTGAAATTTACATAGGTTTTTCCTTTTTTACCCCTTAATCATTTCAGGACTAGCTAGATTCTGTAGTTCTTTTTTTTTGCAACCCTTCATATATGGTAGTTGTACAAAAGTGAAATCCTGCATTTAATTTCTTAATTACATTTTTCACAACTTTTTGAAACCTTGGTAGATTTCTTTTATAATATTCACACAATAATTTATTTGTCTAATGGGAAAAGAAGAAGAAGAAAAAACGTATGGAAAGGATTGAACTTCGTAGTAGTTTTATATTAATGATAATTATGGGTAACAATTCTTTTTTCTTCAAAAATCTATAAATTTATGAAAAAGCAAATCCCAAAGTAATTTCACAAACATTAAAATGATTAGATCGTACTCATGTATAAAAATATATATATATATATATATTGAGTAACCCCTGTGTTTCCCATGTTCATTATTGTCTTTAAGGAAGGACAGAGCTAGATACTGATGCAAAGCACTTGCAAAAAAGATTCTTTTATTATTATATAAAACCTAATCATTTACTAAGGTTAACATAAAACTTTTTGTGATCTGTGATTATTTACTTTCGTGTTTATCATAATGTAATGTGGTTTCTAGGTAAGAAATGGAAGTCTTGCATAAACTACAAAATACAAAGAAATGGTTTAAAACTGCTGCATGAAAAATAATTTTTTGGGCAACATTTCAAACAAAATGAGACCTAATGAAGATTATTTGGCTGAAATGTCGATCAAATAATGTTTTTCTTCCCTTATAGCAATTTTAACCATTTTGTATTTCCAGATTTTGTTATGTTGTAGATGTATTTGTTATTTGAGGCATAAACTGTGTTGAGGACTTGTGCTTATTTTTCCTAGCAGAAAATATTTAAGACATGAAATACACACAGTTAAAGAGTTGACATTGGAGAAACATAAAAAAATTCTTAAAAATGAGACATGAAACAAACAGATGAGTTGAAATTAGAGAAAAATTAAAAATGCAAGTAAAGAAAATTAAAATAATCACAATTAAGTGAAAAAGCAAAATCCTAATTACACTTGAACTTCAATTGAAGTGGAAAAAAAGTTTACAAAAAGTATAAGTTTAAAAAACATTCAAGACAAAATGTAAAACTACAGAAAATATTGCATTGCATTTTAACAGAATGATCAAGACCCATTAAAAAAGAATAAAAAACGTTTGGATGAAAAATCTTTTAAACTAAGAGATGCCAACATTCTATCTTGAGAGTGTAAATGTGTCAGAAGCCAAATGTTAATGTAACAGTCTTCTTTACTATTACTCAATTTCTCTAACATTATTGTCTAGGAAAACCAACACTGTTAAAGGTGGCAGGAGTTACCAAGAACATCCTGTTGTGGCCAGAAGATGGCAAAGTGTAAAAATACACCAGATGAAAACTTTACCGGATAGTTTCTGACTAGCTAGTCAGAATAGTTTCAGAAGTTACCAAGAACATCCTGTTGTGGCCAGAAGATGGCAAAGTGTAAAAATACATCAGATGAAAACTTTACCGGATAGTTTCTGACTGAAGAGAATTATATTAGAATAAATGTTCAATTAGTTACACTAATTTTAAAGGCAACAGCTGACATTTAAATTGATAGTTAAATCTATAAAAAAATTTGGTGAAATGCAATTACGAGCCAATGCCTAGTCAATTTATAAAATACGTAATCCATTTCCCATCAGGCTATTAACTACACATTACTCGCATCATCATAATACTGGTATAGAAAGTATGTGACAAAAATTAGTGCCCAGATATTTTAAAAGTTGGTGAATTCACCTTTTCAATTTCTTTTATATTTCTATAAGTACACATCTCTGCTGAAATATAGTTAAAATGCCTTTACCTTTAACACAAATACATAACAGTTACAAGATGCTATGGTGCTTTTATTAATCTACTCATGCGTGTTATTACTGACATGTATTTTTATAAACCAGTACACAAAAAATGGAAAAGGCAAGGCTTGACTTGTCAATTCCCCACAAAGTTTCATACTTGACTACTAATGTAATTGTACCAGAAATAGCCAAAAAACTACATGTACTCAGAAGTTCATGCAATACTTTTGTTACCTAATGTAATTTTATATTACATATCCAAGACTAAAATGATAAGAAAAAGAATGACTGCTACAGTCAACTTGAAAGATGGACAAATCTTTTTCAGAATCACAGAAGGTAAAAGTTTATGTATACATAGAAATTATACCAATGATAATTTTTTTTCATAACCTCTCTAGCCAGTGCTTATATTCTTTCTGTTGCTTGATGCTTCATAACTAAATTAGTATTTTTAAACTATTTAAAGTTAGCTTTCGTAAATCTGTATGTAAGAAAAAGATTTGTGCAAAGATGAGTAGAAATATATCCAAGATAAAAGTTTGTAGCATTTTTTAGAAACATAACATTTTCAAAAAGTTATATAGGCACCTCAACTTCTTACCATAAATGAGCAAGACTGCACACCAAATGTGCAATGTAATTTCTTGACATGCTAGTACGTAGGACTATCAGTCCTTGATGTTCTTCAATTTCAGACAGTGTCTTCCAAGATAGATGTAACAGATTTCAAAAGAAGGATGGTAGTAGGAGGTTGCTTGGCCATATAGATTGTTGATGTGATAAAAGCAAGTCTTAAATGATGACCTTTAACTGGAAAAAATGATGTGTAAAGAGCAAGTCTGGTAAAAAAAAGCAGGACATGTGATCAGGGTTAGCACACATTATATTGCTCTGCAAAACAATAAGATTGCCACTGTCAAAATGTGCCGAGTCCAGTACTGGATGCCACAATTGTTGTCAGAGAAAACTATATGACAAGAGCTTAGGCATCTGGATAACCATGGCAGAGTGGATATTCGAAAATGTGATGACCATAAAATAACTGTAAAACTTATGAAATAATGGCAAAAGCGGAACAAGACAGACGAGATAACATTCACTCTTTTGTTGATCATAAGAATATATTTCAAGAGTTAAGGTTTCATTACAAGAAGCAGCAAACTGATCTACTAAGCATCGAAAAACCTTCAGTTATTTAACTTGTCTGACTGATAGCTAAGCATTAGCTTGATCAAACTATATTAAATGAGGTATTCTTGGAACTATGCTCCTGATACCAGGTCAATGATGAAAGTGGACTTGACTTTCACTCAATTTCTTTTGTTTGTTGTTAAGCAGAAAGCTATACAATGGGCTATCTGTGATATGACCATCATAGATATTTGAACCTGATTTTTAGTGTTACAAGCCCTCAGACTTACTGCTGAGCTATTTTTATTGTTACTCAAGCATTTCAACACCTCACTGCTTTACAACCAAACAGATATAGTATTGGCATAAAGACTCCTGTTGAAACATTCAAACATTTTACTATTTCATTGTCAAACTGAAACAGTACTAAATGCTTCTGTTGAAACATTCTATATCTTGTTGCCTCATTACCAAACTGATATACTATAGTCCTGCAGAAATATTCCAACACTTTGCTGTATCATTACCAAGTTTACATAGTATAGTCCTAAAGACTCCTGGAGAAATGTTCCAACATCTTGTTGTATCATTACCAAGTTTACATAGTATAGTCCTAAAGATTCCTGCAGAAATATTTCAACACCTTGTTGTATCATTACCAAGCTTACATAGTATAGTCCTAAAGATTCCTGCAGAAATATTTCAACACCTTGTTGTATCATTACCAAGCTTACATAGTACAGCCCTAAAGATTCCTGCCAAAATATTTCAATACCTTCTTGTATCATTACCAAGCTTACATAGTATAGTCCTAAAGATTCCTGCTAAAATGATCCAACACTTTATTGCTAAATTGACATGGTACTGTATTAAAGTGTTCTTTCGAAATATTATAATCTTGTTGCTTGTTTACAAACTGATATTAAAGGCTCATGCTGAAATATTCCAACACCTTGCTATTCATTGCCAAACTGGTGTTAATTTTAACAAGATTATTAAAAATTGTTAATTCAAAAGGGAGTAATGGGGATCTTAAAAAATACAGAAATATTATAAGTAGATTAAAGTGAAAATGCAATTGCCAAAAAAGTAAACAAGCTTAAGGATTGAGACATAATGTTGACATTATTGCCTCAAGCTACCAATCTTTACTTTCACTCTTTTACAATGCCTTGCAAAATATTAAGTCCCTTCAAAGTTTCCACATTTTGTTGTTGTTCGAGCTTGCAATCATAAAACTTTCAAATGGGATGTCATATTTAGAATCTACACAATCTATTCCACACTGAGAAAGCTAAAAACATGCTGATATTATGTGAGTTAGATTTTCAGAGAAAATTAGAATATTTCCAATTGCATAAGCATTCAACCCCTTTGCTACGGCAACCCTAAATCAGCTCAAATGCAAAATATTAGTTTTAAAGGGCACAAAATTAGTGTAATGGTCTCCGTGTAATCAAAGTGTTTAACTTGGGTTCAGAGTAAATGTATCTGTTCAAGCCATAACT